TATGACATGATAGGTTAACTTTCTGCAATGGAAAAAGAGTATATATGGAAACAAGAGTTCTTACTCTTTTCAGTACAAGTTCTTTTCACATAATTGGAAATACAAATCAGTGGAAACATAATCTGGGAACAGCTACCTTATAATACCAGAAATATTTTCCATGAACATTACTAAATTCAATATCATCTTCCTTATTATCATGATTGTCACCATCATGAACAATTTTCCAATTAAATTATTTCTACCATCATTATCATTTTCATGAACATTACCAATGTCAAGAAGATTCTCACTATTACAAACAAAAAAGTTCAGACATTTTACTGAAGGAAAATAAGAAAAAGTCATCATCTATATACATCTATTAACACAAAATAATCTCATATTTACATTGTAAGTACAAAAGTAAATATACACTATAAGTTAAAGGCAGTTTTCCATTACACATTTTGGAGATAAATTGATTACCCCACTAGACTATTTCAGGTTCAACTTTCCTGATGCCCTTATGATTTGCCAGGACATCAGAAAAAAATACAATAATTTTCTAGCAATCTTAAGCTTGTGTTCTCTTATGTTGTCATGGTATTTCATAAGAGGATTCTATTACTGCCCATTGACTGTCCTTACTTTCCCAAATGATCTTTTCCCTAAGATTTCCAGTTGATGGTTCTAATCTAACTACAACTAAACTCTTTTGTCCATGTAATTTAGTTACTTGTTTATTTCCCCCTTTTAAATTTAATTTCTCATCCAATAATATTTCATCATTTGTATAATGAGTTCCTAGGTCCACCTTGTATACCTGATCCACCTTAATGATTCAACCTTTGATGATTAAAATATTTGGGAATATCTGTTTTAATAAATATCATTTTTCTTCTATGCCTTTAAATTTGGAATGTTGTGCCCAGTTACTAAAGAAATTAGGATACTGTTGATATGAGAAAAGGTATGAATGAGAATGAATATCTTCACAATACAAGAGATATATTTAACAGGTTTCAAATTTAATATATCTACATTAGAAATACAGTCGTGTATTTCTGACAAAGATGTATTTAAAA